ATGTAGTTGCCAGACCCGTGTAATTCACCGAAGGGCTTCGGATGACAAACACACGTCTGCGTTAACTCAGGAGGGGCTTCGAGCGCGCGCGCGCGGGAGGCGAGCTGCGGGTAGCCGAGCACCACCAAGACGCCGTCGAGGAACCGCTGCTGCAGAATGATCGTATCTTCGGTTTGGCGATCCTCCTTCTCCCACGCTTCGTCCACCTCGTGTTCCTCGTGCCTGTGATCCGGCTCCTCCTCCCCCTTTCCTCCTTTTCCTCTTGTGCGTTCTCGTTCTCCCGCTCGCCGTGTTCCTCCCTCTCTCCTGCTACCCCTCCTGCTGCTCCTTCTCATCCTCATCTCGATTGTCGTCCTCTTCACCCTCCCACTCCCACCCATGCAGCTCCTCTGTCTCCTCCTTGTCCTCTTCCGCCTGTTCCTCCCTGCTCCTTTTCTCCCTCTTCCTGCCATTCTCTCCCCTGAGCAGGAGACGGAGGAGCAGGAGGAGCAGGAGCAGGACGAGGAACAGGACGAGGATGAGGCCTGGGAGGACGAGGTCGACGGCGAGGGCGAGGACGAGGATGAGGAGAAGGCGGACAAGGAGAACGAGCATAACGACGAGAAGATGCACGAGCACGAGGAGGACGAAGAGGATCAGGAGGACGACGCGGACAGTGGCAAGGGCGATGATGAGGAGGACGAGTATGAGAACCAGGGTGAGGACGAGGAGAATAATGACGCCGACGGTGGCGAGCTTTGCTGCGGAGGGCCCGTCCAGGAGCTCTGCCGCCTTCGCTGCGACCTTCTGGAGCTGGACCTGGCGCACGGCGACTGGGTTGGCCGCTTCGTCGCTGGCCTCCGCTGGGGGGAGGGCGGGAAGGAGATGGCGAGGAGCATCCTTCCCCCTCCTCCCCCCTCCTCATATTCCCCCCCCCCTCTCTTCCAGTTCCCCTAAGTCACCCCCCCTCCCCTCCCCCATCTCTACCAATTCCTTTCTCCCCCCGTCCGGCCTCTCTTCTCATTGCTCAGCTCTTCCCCTGTCACTCCCCTCTTCTTCCGCTGTCCAGCATATCTCCTTGCCCTTCCGCTCTGAATACGCAATGCCCCGTCCGTAGGTGCCCCTTACCCTTCTGACCAGTACGGCGATGAGGCTCGCGAGCGTCGAATACGCAGCGCCCACAATTCATCGAGTTCGTTCGTCCATTAGTGAATCGTCTGTGGGGCAGCACCCATGGCCTCGCACGGGCAGTGACCATTTACTGTGATTGTTGTTGCTAAGCAGTGCGATATTTGAACCATCTTTCCTGAGATGGCACAGTCACTGTAGTGACGTATGTGCTGGATGTGTGGTCGACGTCGCTGGCGAGCTACCGAGAGTAATAATATATGCCTTGCGTGGCGTCCACATCATTGTGCCTTGGGTGCGTCCTCTTTTGGCAGCGCGCGGCGAGGAGCAATGGAACACAGTTGCGTGACGTGAGATCGTTACGCGTCGTGTTGTGACTCTGGGGTCAAATAGGAGCCATCGTTCTGATGTTGCATAGTCTCTCCCACCTTCCCAACTTTTCTCACTGTGCTCTTTCCTCTCCCTCCTCCTTGTCCCTTTGCCGCTCCCCTGCCCTCCCCACCATCTCCCCCTCTCTCCACCTCCCACTCTCTCCCGCCCGCTCTGATCCCCCTCTCCCCGCTCTGCTCCCCGACTCCCTCCCCTTCTCCCCTCTCACCGCTCCGTCGCCTCTGCCCCTCCCTCCCTTCTGTCTCTCCCTGCTATCCCCTCCTCCCCCCTGCCCTGCCCGTGCCCTCCCTCTTCGCCGACGCGCCAGATCTCCTGCAACTGCGCCCGCGCCACGGCGCCGCCGCCCCGTGCCTCCTCCCCCTCCGCTCCCCCTCCTCGCCTGCGCGCCCCCCCCCCTCCTCGCCCTCCTCGCCCGCGGCGGCAGGCCTGCCCGCGGGGCTGCCGAAGTGGCCGGGCAAGGGGCGGCGGCAGCGGCGCCGCGGCGGCGCGGCGGGCCTGGAGCACCTGCCCATCGACAGGCCTGGCCACGAAGACGGGGCCCCGGCGAGGCGGTGCCGGCCCATCCGAGCGGCGTGTGTCTGGAGGTCGGGCCTCGGGGCCCGTCGGCGGGCCCCGCGGGGCCATACCGTCGGGGCCCTGAAGAAGGAGCCCTTTTCCGTTTGGGAGGGGCTCCGTGTTCCTTTAGTTGTTTTACAGTGCTCCTTGGGTTTTCCTGAGGCCCTCCATGGAGAGTCGGAGTTTAACTTCTGGGAACGAGGGGCCTCGTTCCTCGTTCAGGGTTCCTTGGGTCAACGCCTCGACTGTATTCCAAGAGTGGGTCCGGGAGGGCCGGGGCGTCAGGGGCCGCGTGTGGAGAAGCGCACATCGGCGGAGGGCGGGGAGGCAGCAGGGAGGTGCGGAGATCGTCGGAGGTCTCCGTGGGCTCCCAGGGGTCTTTCGGGGCCCAGGGTGCTTCCCAGTGATCCGGAGGCACAGGGACGCCATCGTCGAGCGCATAGAGCAGGAACGGCCGGCGGGGGGGCGTGGGCGGGCAGAGCGGCACATGTATGCACATGCGCGTCCACTCCATCCTTGCCCCTCTGCGCCTCCACGCCCACTGTCACCCCTCCAACCCCTTGCCCCTCCCTCCCTCTCTGCACCCTTCCCCTCCGCCTCCCCTCCGCGTTTGGGGCCGCGCACGAGAGAGGTTGGACTCGGGCCCTTCGTCCGCCGTGCCGCCGGCATCCCCCGCAGCGCTCCGTGCGGCTCGCCTGTGCCTCCAGCTGCGCTCTTTCGTGGGCCCTCCCGCGCGCAGGTCGTGCACGCGCGGCGGAGCTGACGTGCGCCAAGCTCCGTGTTGGCCCGAGCACTGCGGCGGCATCATCTTGCGATTGTGTGTGTGGGGGTCCTGCGCCAGAGCTCCTCCCGAAGCCCCCAGGTACCAACCCAGGCATCGCGCTGGCCGAGCGCAGTCGACGCACTGGAAGCGGCCAGCCACCAGCCAGTAATGCAACCCACAGCCCACACTCGAAAATGCAAGTTCAAGCCCATCGCGCGCTCTGCATCCACGAATGGTTGGAAGGAGGAACAAAGAGGGAAAGGAACGCCAAAGCATAATCGGATACGGCCTGCAGACGACTCATTCGCCTCATGAGCATACCTCAACAGCCACGGTCGGAACAAAAACGAAGGTGCAGCGCCTTAGACGGACCTTCCGCGCTTCTGGGGACGCCACGTCCTCGGGCACGGCACCTGCTGGCAGGTGACCTCCAGGGACGGCAGCATGCAGCACGCCGCTGGCGTGCCATCATGGGCCCACACGGAGGCCTCCGCGGCGTCATGCGTCACGGCGGCAGGATGGCGTGGTGGCAGGGGCAGAAGCCACCACCGTGCGCGTGCCATGACCGCGTCCTCCAGCATGCAGTCACTGAGCGCGTGCCCTGGCCCGCGTGCATTGCACCCAGCCGAGGGCCCACGGGAGACATGGGCAGCGCCTGCGACCCGGCGTTGCTCTGGCCCTGCAGCTCTGCACGCTCTGTCGGTCGGAGGCACTGTCGCGGGATTCCGCGCAAGAGCGCCGCTCCGAACATGATTGCGTTTTCTGATGTCGCTGGTGCATCTGGGCTCCGAGCACAGGTCTTGGGAAGCCCCCCTGCCTCCATTGCGTGATACAGCGCAACGGCTCCGTCCTCTTCACTTCTCCCACCCTCCTTCTGCTCGTTCATCCTCACCCCATCTTACTCCTCCATCCTTGTATTACCTCCTCTTTATTGTCACCCTGCTCCTTGTCCTCTTCATCCTCGGAGTTCTGGTCCTCATCTTGTTTTTACTCATCCTCTCTCTCCGCCCTCCTTCCTCCCCGCTTCCCCCTCCTTCCGCATGCGTTTCCTCCTTCTCACAGTTCTCTGCCTTCCTCCTCCTTTTCCGTCCTACGTCTTCTGTTCTCGATCCTCCCCCTCTTCTCTCCTCCCTGTTCGTTCCACAACGGTACGTCCTCTCCTGCCTCTCCTGTCTTTTCGCCCTCCTCCCTGCTTCCTCCGCCCTCACTCGTGCTCCCTCCTCGGCCATTCCATCCTCTTCGGTCCGGTCCTTTTCCTCTTCCTCCCCCGTGCTCTTCCCCCCGTGCTCCTCCCCCCCTCGTTCGCTCTTGCCTCCCCATCTTCCCACAGGTGGCTCAGCGGCGTGGCCATTGCCATTCCAGGCGGGCTCGCCGAGCTTGAGCCCCCGGCGCCATCGGCGGCGCGACCTGGAGCGCCGTGCGGGGCGCCTCGGATGCGCGTGTGCTTCCACGGACCCTTTGGCGGCGAGGCTTCGGAAAGAGGTCGACGAGTGGAAGGCGACGGCGGAGCAGCTCCCGCGGGAGGCGAAGCAGGAGCCCGCTGCCATCGATGGTCGTGGGAAGCTCACTGTTGTGCGAACAAGCGGGGCAGTGACAGCAGAGGGCGGAGAGAGAGCCCCGTGTCACTTTGTGCGGCGGGGGATCTGTCGACAGCACGTGCGAGAGCGCGGACGAGAAGACAGGGTTGCGGCAGCAGGAGGCGGATGCAATGAAGTAGCCCGTGATGTCGCCAGCCGCTGTGGGAACCTGCCGACGGCGCGAATAATGAGCCCGATGTCTCCAGCTTCACCGGTGCACTTGCTGGCGGCGCGCGCGATACGTCCGAGCAGTGGCAGCAGAAGGCGGCGGCGATGACGGAACCGGATGTCATGAATTGCCGCAGGGAATATGTTGAATGTGCGTGGGGCAAGTGCTAAAAGGCGTTCGAGAGGAACTGCGCGGCGCCCGTGTTTGTGCCAGACCGCAGTCTTCCGAGGCGACGCAATCGGGCACGGACATGAGCGGCGTATTTTCGCACCGCGACGATGTCCACGGCGTCCGTCAAGCCAAGTGTCGTAGGTGGTGGCCGTCAGCGCGTGCGAGACGGCAGGGCAGCGACAGCTCGAGGCGACAGGTGAGCCAGACGCAATCCGCTGCCATAGGCAGCTGGCCGGCAGCACGTGCGAGAAAGCATGGCCGTAGTAGCAGGAGGTAGAGTCGAATAGTGAGCCCAACCTCATCAGCTGCAGTGCGAGGCCCTCAGCGCGCAAGAAGGCAGGTATGTGGCATCCGGATGCGACGCAGGATCCCGCCGTCTTCGGCAATCGTGGGAAGACTGTTGACAACGAGCGTGAGAGGGGCAATCGTGGGAAGACTGTTGACAACGAGTGTGAGAAGGCGGTGCAGTGGCAACCGGACGGGATGGCGACAAATGAGCCCAATGCCATTAGCTACCATGTGGGGATTGTGTTCGAGCCGCGGGCGAGCAGGGCGACGTGGACCGCGCGAGCAGGCATCGCACGAGCATGGCTTGGCTGGCCCTGGAGCGGGGCAGCGCAGAGCGGCGGCGAGCTGCTGCCGCGCGGGGCCTGCGGGCCAGCACGGGAGAGACGATGAGCACATCTTCCACCACCACTGCCATATGTAAGACGGGGGAGAAGGGAGGATGAGGAGGTCCTCCTCCTCCTCCTCCTCCTCCTCCTCCTCCTCCTCCTCCTCCTCCTCCTCCTCCTCCCTCTCCTAGCTATGGTGGTGCTGGTGGAACATGGGCCCATTAAAGGAGGCGAAGACGATAGCTCGGCTGCAGCTCCCGCGGGGCGTTCGCGGCCAGGGCGTGCGAGGAGGCAGAGCAGCAGTGCCGCGAAGCGGCACGGCAGGGAGGACGAGCCCCATCACCAGCAGCGGCTGGGCACGAAGTTCGAGCAGGGACGAGCAGCCCGAGAGCTCAAAGAGCACCACCGGTGGGCGGCCCGAGGAAGGACCACGCAGGGTCTGAACGAACGGCCTGCACGGAGAGATGACGCGGACCTGCGGCCGCAGAGAGGGCTGGCCGTTGTGGCCGCTCCGTGCCGGATGGCTGGCTCTACGCAGGCGCGTGCAGCCCCGGGATTCGGGCAAAGTCTTCGGCCTCAGGGGCAAGATCTGCTGGAAGCTGCAGCAGCAGAGCTGTGGAGCAAGATCGAGGAGGAGGAGGAGGAGGAGGAGGAGGAGGAGGAGGAGGAGGAGGAGGAGGGGGAGGGGGGAGGAGGAGGAGGAGGCGGAGGAGGAGGGGAGGAGGAGGAGGAGGATGTGGAGCTGTGGAGCTGTGGATGTGATCGAGCAGGACTCCCTGATCCGGCCTCGTTTTCTGACGTTCGGGCGCTCTGGCGCCACACCCGCAGCACCTGCGACAGTGCCCAGGCGCGGGCGCGTTTCGAGCATCATGCTTCTTGAATTGCGAGGGGCGAGGAGGAGGAGGAGGAGGAGGACGAGGAGGAGGAGGAGGAGGAGGACGAGGAGGAGGAGGAGGAGGAGGAGGAGGAGGAGGAGGACGAGGACTGCAGTGTCACTCTTCGCGGCCTCTCCTCGCCGTGCCTCTGCGTCTCGTCCTGCGCCGCCCGGCCCGCCCTCCGCACGGGCGCGCTGCCCCGCCCTCTCTGCCCACGGCGGGCGCTCGCCCGCGAGGGGCGGCGTTTCAGTTTTGACTTGCCGACAGGATGTTCCGAAACTGCCCCCACCAATTTCTGCTCCTCACTCCTCTCGCTTTCCCTGTTCTCTCCGCCCCCTCCCCTTCCGCGTCACATTCTCTTTTTTTCACATCCGCCGCCCGACAGGTGAAGGTGGTTCATGTGTCCTTGCGATCCCATGCTGGGGCAGTACCCACTTCCAGAGATCTGGTGGGAACCAGAAGGGGGCAACTCACCATGGGGCAAGCGGATTGCCCCGATGTGGTCCCAAAAATACCAGAGAGTCCCACCCGACGCCCCGCACGCATTCCATGAGCGACGGGGCGTTTGTTGTTGATGTAGAACTTCATTCGACCTGCCTTGAATTGAGAAGAGTCGGAACATGCAGAGGGAAAGCGAGGGGTGCAACCGTCAAAACGAAGCAGGCCCCAGAGCAAACCACAATCGGGAGTCTTCGATCCCGGAGATTCTTGAAGACTTACTGAGCCCATCGTCGGTCGCTGTTTCGGCAATGTTGGAGGTGTTCGAGGCTCTCTTTGGCCACTGTTAGAGGCATTGGGGCCATACGTGGGCCATCTTGGAGGATCTGTTGCCACCTTCGGCCAATAACACTCGGTCGTTGAAGTGGTCGGGCACACGGGGGGCGTACTTGGCGCCTGTTGGACGCATGCTGATGACCACATCGAGCAAACTTGCGACAGCTTGCGCTATGTGTCACTCTGTGCGCGTCGCGCACTTGGCTGGCGTGGATGGGGCACGTGGCATACCGTGTGCACACGGCGCACCTGGCGCAGCACGCGCGCCTCGCGCGCTTGGGCACCTGTGCGGCGCGCCTGGCGCGCGTGGCGAACCGCGCGCGCGTCGGGCACCGGGCCATGCTGTTGGTTCCCGATGGGCCCATGCGTGCCCACACCAACACCCGGGGCTTCCGCCTTCTCCTCCTGCGCATCCTTCTCATCTTCTCCTCCTCGCATCTGTTCTGTCTCGCACCGCATGCGTCCTGACGCCAGGGTCCCCCCAAAAACATTACCTCAACCACCT